TTGTCGCGAGTTGAGAATTGATTGCTTCGCCACTTCGCAGAGTTGGTCTTGTGGCGCGTTATTAGATTGCGAGGAGGATTTGTTGATGGGATTTCGCTGTTGGCCTGTAATCATGTCATCGATGAAGCTCTGCTATTCTTGATTCAAAATTCCTCTTGTCTTCGTGATTAATTTTGAAGAATCTAGTAACCTCTCATGATTTTTCTGTGTGAATAATTCGGTATGATATTTTAAATTGATCTTCCAACGTGAATGATATTCCAGCTGCACGCGCGGAATAAATCCCATTTTATGAAGCTCTCTGTGCAATTTATTTCTTGATTTTGTTCTGATGTACTATATGGAACAAAATATGAAAGAGCTGGTTTTAAATTGCATGGAACAATTCCAGTATGAACAAACAATACCAATGGCCACGACGCTTTTTTTTTAATTGCTATATTAAAATGGCAAAAGACGAAATTTTCAAACACAGTACGTTTTCCAATAATTTTTTCATTATTGTTTTAAATCATCCTTTGGTCTGGGTTTCACATGTTGACCTTGCTGAAAATTATATTGCTTGATTGCATACAATTTTAAATCTACAGAATGAGAATTAGTAAAACAAAAGTTTCGGATACGACGTCTGAATTGTTCGAATTAGGTAATGGGGACCCAGTTTCTTCTAATGTTATAGTTTCTTGCATTATCATCATCATCATTTGGTTAAAATTTTGTGCCACCAGAAGAGGGACTCAAAGAAAATACTGCAAGATATTAAGAAGATTACAAAGTAATATTTCTGGAATTCAATTTGGACGAAAGAAATTCGAAACTGCGGGGAGTTTAATTCTAAAAATGAAATGAACTCGCATTTTGGGTAAACATTTTTCAATAAGCGCAACAGATATATAATAAATTTAAATGAATGCCATAGGCATTATTCAAGAGATAGCATGAAAACAATAAATATAATGTCTTGAAATTAATCCAATGAAACAAAAAGTTGAAAACCAAAGAATCTGCATCAGAAAGACTATTCCGAAAATGCAGTACAGTCATAGGTTATCAAACAAATATATTCGAGTGCTTATAGGAAACACGTCTAGTCATTATCCTTAATTATTCATTTGCAAGCACTGAAATGGGACTAATTTCCACCGATCCTTTGTCACAGAAATCCAGATACATTCTGGGAAATTTTCTCAGCCACTTCCTAAAGTCCAGGACGTGTTGATTTGTCCAGGTGTTCAACTGCTGGGGAGTAACCCTTGCAATAATAATCATGCCGCTCTGAAACTTTGCAAGGGAACCTCATTCTGATTTCCTAGGTTTCTTTTTCGTGGACAGGGAAATCCAGCAAGGTCCACTTGCAGCCCGGGCGATAACGAATGGCGAAAGCGCGTGAGCCCAACGACTCCGGGTAATTATTACCCGGTTACGTCGTCATCGGCCCGCGCGCCGAAATCTTCGTGTCACGGAAACCCGGGGAAACCCATTAAAGTCGCGGTGGAAAATCGTGTGTTGACACAAGCCCTGGCCCCAGGGGATTCTCGTCGATCGTTCCCGAACCCCCTCAACCTTTCGCCAAATACGGTAGTCTGCATAAAAGAAATAATATTACAGCAACTGGTTGCAGGGAAGCTCGGGACCTGCAAGCGATGCACACGGATTAAAGCAACCAAAAAAAAAAAGGCATGCGTGAATGCTTGAAAACGTTAGTTTGAAGACGATTCTTAAACGAGTTTTCCAAGAACCCAGACATGCCTCATTTATTAGATTTTTACCCAACATGCGTGTCTGCGATTATCGTTGATTGCGTCCTTGAATTCATAGCGAAAGAAAAAATATGATATAATTATTGACAAGCGCATTAAAAATACTTTTTCTCCATGGGATTTAATTTTAAAATCTCTGTTTTAACATCGAAGGCATGATTTGTCATCAATTGTGGGAGAATGTTGTGTTCCGTACATCAAATTTCTGCAAGGTGCTGTGCGAAATTTATTTGGCGGCAAAGGACGCCGCCACGAAAAAAGAGGGGTCCGTTGACTTGAAATTTAATCGGCGCATCTCGGGATGCGCCGAAAAAGACGAGAACAAGAAAAGTTGGCGCCCCAAAAAATCGGGGCAACCGAAAACCCAAAAATCCTGAAAAGGAACAGAACAGAAANTGAAAGAGATAAAAACGAATAAAAAAAAAAAAAAAAAAAAAAAAAAGGCATGCGTGAATGCTTGAAAACGTTAGTTTGAAGACGATTCTTAAACGAGTTTTCCAAGAACCCAGACATGCCTCATTTATTAGATTTTCACCCAACATGCGTGTCTGCGATTATCGTTGATTGCGTCCTTGAATTCATAGCGAAAGAAAAAATATGAAATAATTATTGACAAGTGCATTAAAAATGTTTTTTCTCTATGGGAATTTTTCATTTTAAAATCTCTGTTTTAACATCAAAGGCATGATTTTTCATCAATTGTGGGGATACGTCGTGTTCCGGCATCAAATTTCTGCGAGGTAATTCGGGCTTATTTTTTGAATATTGCTGACATTGCAAGTTCTTGTTCGAAAGTCTAAAAATAGTATCACGGTTCATTGAATGATTGTGTCGTGTTTTCTACAAAAATGGGACTAAGTCTCAATCCGAACGAACGATCACCAAAAACGAGTCCATGCCGATAACATTTCATTCGGCTTCCCAAATAAAATGTCATCGCTCAGACGGGAAATTAGTTTCTTCTTTTCTTCTGCATAATTGAATGTGAAAAGACGCATACGATTTCCGAAGAGTTTCAAAATAAATACGAAAGCGACAGAAAGGTTATGGCTTCATTCCTAAAGCGAAATTAAATTCGATTTGTGGAGCAAAACAAAGCAGCAACAGGTGGTATACCTAATTTCTGTCGATTAACGTTCATACGAAGATCCGTTCCTCGCCGATTTTTGAAAAGCCAAATTTTGATTTTTTGGCTGATTGGCAAGTCAATTGAATGCTTTAGTTGGAGCTGTTCGATACACAGTGACAGTATTCCTCGCCAAATTGTTTCATGTCACAAGTCACGTATCCTTGAAAGACATTCCGGAAAATTAAATGTTTCAGTGCAACCTTCATAAAAAAATATCCACTTCAATGCCCAGCAGCGATTCACATCATCAACCCTGATCAATCTGACACCAGTACTCGTTCGTCTTAATTTCCAGGACCGTATACTGGTCCAGGTGAAAATCGTGCAACAGCAGGAAACATTCTAGCATCAAGTCCAGCTAGAGTGATTGCACCTGTTATTGGACTGAAGCGAACAGCACACCAGCAGCTCGTGTACGAAAGCAAACATTAGAGGGAAGCATAAAATTGTAAAAAAAAAAAAAATCAGGAACACGCAACTCCCGAAACCGGGAATCGCATTCGTTATATGAGTCACGTCAGTCAAACAATGAGAAAGAATTGCGACAAAATTGTGGGCCTTTTTATTTCCTCGCCAATTTCTCTCTTTCTCAAACTCTCGCGCATTCTTGTTTTTTTCCCCGATCTTTCTCCTGATCTTCCAGCAACAACAAAAACGCAAAACAAAAAATCAAAAGAGGGAACAATCCAGAAAAAAGCCTGATTTTGAGAAGCACATGTTTTGCGATAAATCTTGCCGAGAACAAAACAGCTTTCTTTCCTCGATATGTGCGCGCATTCAATTCTTTTCCGCAGTTTTGATGAATTTTTTTCTTCTTCTCGAATGAATTATAATGAAAGCATCACTATAATGATAATTGTTTAGAACAAGAACAAACCGTCCTCACTTCTGATGCCGAAACCCCATTTTCTTTCCCGCAGCCGACACAACAGAAAATACCCTGATGTAAACAGACAAAATGGAACGTTCAAAAAGTTCTCTCATTTAATTAGCCGTCATGGTAATAAAGCGGCGATAAAATGACTAGCAAAATTTTGACGAGTTTTTATTCCCGTCAAAAGAATCACATATGGGTTTCGACCTGAAGTGCAAAAACTCAGGTTCAGGGATGTCAGTCCTCACGAGTGGTAAATTCCTTCTTCGAGGCATTTGCTGATTCTGTATCAGGAGTGCTTCTTATTGAATTTTCTCAAATTTTAAAAAGTGTAAGTATTTATCGATTATATGAAACGTTTGAGGGATGTCTCATTACCGAACGTAGTGTAGCACTAAAAAAGGAAAGCAGAGTATTTAAAAAATTCCAACATTCGGGGAATTAAGTAATAATCAATTTTGTTCCTTAACCCGTTTGAAAGAAAATTACCCGAGTTTATTCCAGCTACTTTAAAACGAAAATCAGCATATGATCAGCTAAATCAATTTTCCCTCTTCGCAGAATCGTGATTTAATCATACAATATTTTGACATATTTTCTTTTGCTTGTGATACTCAAAACCCTCTCAAGTCTTGTCTCAATAGCATTGCTAAATTATACGTTTGAAAGAAGTGATCATTGTTTTTTCTTGAGCAAGCTTTGACCCAAATAATTCTCACGGAGAAACAAGAATTTGTCCCTTGCTAAAATCTCAGCATAAATCACTATCCAAAAACTAGAACGGATATGCTGCTATGGTTTCTAGACGGGAAAGTTTTGAAAACGCATTTAAAATCGATTTTAACGTATTGTCGGTCTCCTGATTTAAAATTAATAGCTCTGAAACCATTGAAGTTCATTTTTATGCTGGTGGTCCAATGAAAGAACTCCACTCGTGATGAAAGACTATTAGAAACTGGAAAATCTTTCGGAAGTAACCCTTCTCAAGATGCCTCCCGTTAATTTTTCGGTCGCTTTCTTAACAAAACAAAAAAATATCCCAAAACAAAAAAAGAAAATAACCATGAGCCGAGGTAACGATCGTTGTCAAGTTTACAACACACACACCCACAAAAAACAAATGCCAAAAAAACTAGAACACAATGAGATCCTCAAAGTCGATTCATCCCCTGCTGCTGTAAATATAGCCACTCATGTGTCACATAACCGCCGCGAAACCGGGGCTTTTGCAGGTCCGTCAGTCGACAGTGAGCTGAACGTGGTCCGGCGAGTCGACAGCGTCTGCGACAGTGGTTGGAATCGACGCTGTCGTGACGACGGAAGCGGAATTAGCAGCAGCAGAAGCAGCTGCTGCTGCCGCCGCTGCTGCTGCTGCTGCTGCTGCAACAACTGAAACATCCCCGGCATGCTGGGTCTCCTTGTGTCGTCTGAGGTCAACTTTCCGTTGGAAGGCCCGACCGCACAAGTCGCAGCCGAATGGCTTGAACCCGGTGTGCTTTCGGCTGTGCGTTATGAGATTCGAGGACTGGCTGAACGCCTTTCCGCAGACAGTACATTTGTGCGGCTTCTCCCCTGCAAAAAAAACATGTAAAAATACTGTATAAATGCATGAATGTTGAAAAAAATCTCGGATTTCTACAATCATTTCAATGGAAAGGCAGCATAGAGTTGAGGATCCATTTGAAATCAAGGTCCTTTCACACAGATCAATATACAGTCAACCCCTGTCTAATGGACTTGATTCATGCAATGGTCAAGTCTGTTGGACAAAAAGTTCTTTAGACAAATTCAATTATATAAAAAAATGAAAATTTTCAATTTTCAACACTGATTTTAAACCAAAAGAAGTCTGTTTGGCGGATTTTGTCTGTTGGGCGGGAGGAAAAACTGTCTGCAGAGCTGGTCTGTTAGGCAAAAATCCCTTACATGGGAGGTCTGTCAGGCGGGGGCCACTGCATGCCTTATTCAAACTGGTGAGATTACGTGCCTATGTTTCAAAGGCAAGAAATGCATTGAATTTTCATTTCTTCCTTAAATTGAATTGAATTGAACAGCAAGCTTTATTTTCTGCTTTTCAGCATTCACAAGGTTCAAGCAATGTTCCCACATCCAAACCCCCTCCCCTCCCCACTCAAATTCATGCAAACACATTATCCAACACATAAGAATGGAAAATGGAGAAATAAGCTGTACATGGATATTAAAAGACAAGAAAATACATCCCAAAATTGTACGATTGCTTACTGGTGTAAATAGGTACACTTTCTTCCCTTTCCTGATAACAAAAACAAAATATCAGTAATAAGAATTGCATCATAAATTACTAAACCCAAATTAAAGCACAAGATTTTCAGCCTGCTCTCAGATAAGGTTTAGTTGATCATAGAAATTGGAGAGAATCTTTGATGAGAAATCATATAAGGTCAACAGTTTATCTTGGTCCTCTGAGATTTTCCAAAGAGTCTTTTCATTAAATTTTAAAAGTGCCAAAATATTTTTGTAGCTCATTTATTTCTTCATTACTCGTTCATTAATGCTGAAAATATTCAGGTTATTGAAAATGATGTATGCGTGCTGTGTGCATTTGCTTCCAGCATATGGCAGGAAATTTAACTTTGTTTGACAGCGATGCAAAATTGATGACAATTGAACTGATCCAAGATTTCACTCAAATCCTGTTTGTGTGATGTAAGTGTTCAATTTCATGCGCAATCAATATTATTTTGATATTTTTGAAGAGGAGTTAAATCATTTAATTCATTACTATGAGAGATAGAGAACCATTGTTTTTGAATGAGAGCAGAATAAAAATCACTGATGTACTGCATTTGGCGGAAATTTTAGTCCTCATTTCAAAGCAGGAGTTTCATCAACTCTGCAGATGATTTAATAACCTTTTTCCAATGTTTTGCTCTTGTGGTGTCACCATTATGACATGGTTGGGGCTGAATTTTAAGACACTTTTTGTCTAAGCTATAAGGATTTCACTCTCAATTTCTGATCAGATTTTGAGACCGCTTCATTGCATCAGTTGATTATTCTACGCCTAAAAAGCTGCAGGTTTATATACAGAGTTAAAGTGCTTGTCCCGACAACTTATTCGACAGTTGCGCCATTTGTTCATGCTTTTTGTTTTTCACTTCTATCGCTTAAGCAAATTTTTTTGTCGTTGGGGCATAATTTGTGATCAAGTCATCGCTGCTGGCTTGAATTCAGTGATAAGAAAAAGACAAACTTGTGAATTTTTAGCATCTAGTGAATAAAAAAAATTATGCAATCGTCAGCACTTCATGTTCTCATGCGAAAACTTCGCGAGGCTTTTTTCTTGAAACTCATCGTTTACAGGGAATTAGGTTATGTTTGCTCAGCCATTCTGCTGTTTTTCGAGATTCCCGGTCTAGATTGCCACTACTTAACCACAGCAGAAGACATGCACGGCAATAAAGATATCCTTATCGTTTTTCGCAAAAAGGAAAGAAAAAAAGATCGCGGACTCAGGGGACATAAAACAGGGCCGCTTAAGTAAGCCATCAATCAATGCCGTCGCATTCGTCATCGCAACGCCGTCGACAGCGGCGCAAATCAAACTCGGGTCACTAAGCGTCACAAAACCGCTCGCCCTCATTCAGCATTTGTTCAGTCACAAACTGCCCTTTTTCCCAGAAAAAAAATGTGTAACTTGGTCAAATATCAACCCGAGTTAGTAGGAGTTATCGGCACCACTCCGAACGCAGGACTCAGCAAATAATCCCAAAAGCATGTTTAAAAAATACTTTGAAATCGACGGACTAATTTCTTGACATAAAGCAGGTCCCTTCTAAAATCTAAAAATTTTCAAGAAATTGTTGTCTATAGGGCGTTTAAAAAATTTGCATCGGAAAAAAAAATCTCGAACAACAATTGTTCTTCGAGATTTTTTTTTTCCGATGCAGACTTCATTGGAAAAAATGTTGCATTTCTATAAACAATATGCATTTGAACCTATTCAAGTCAAATTTAAAGGGGCAAATGAACAAATTCGAGTTAGAGATGTTTTGAGTGAGGAAACAAGCATTTTTGTTCGGTGATGAAAAAAGAATTGCACTAAATGTAATGGGTGATATCCTGGGTCTTAAATTGCTTCTTGAATGAGTTGACAGGATGCTGAACTTAAAGGCAAGGGACTGATTTGCCCAATTAGTCTTACCTTTCCTTTAAATGCATGAAGTTATTTCTTAATCCTTGCCTTTGGTTTTTTCAAGGAAATAATCTCCAAAAAGGCATCAGAAAATTTGAGTTACAGAGGTTTGAGAGGAAAACAGCCTTTGAGGCAGAGAGTCTTATTATGCATTGTTTCTAAGGGAATTCAGGCAGTGACTTAGAAAAATGCTGACATAGGAATGTATTTGATTTATGAAGGTTAAAGTTATCAAGGTTCAACTGTGTTCTGCATATTTTGTACAACACTGATGCATCTCTGATACATTTCAAGTATTTTTTGTGATGGGAAAGAATAAATTACTTCAACAAGCAGAAGAACCACACAAAAATTACCAAATCCAATACATTATCATTTTTGTGCATTCTAAGAACCAAAATCTGAATTGAAATCTAAATTTTTGAAATTTGTTGAATTTTGAAGCTACGTTTTTGGTGTAGTCTTTTTAAAGAGAAATTGTGTGACCTTTTTTGTTTGTAGCCTTTTTAAAATAAGCCACCACTGATCTTAACTTTTTTCTTGCTCATCAAGATGAATCTCTTAGGAAAAAAGTATGTTTAAAAAATATACTGTACTTCAATGCTTGATTAATGCACGCAATAAAATTCCTAGCATCAGAATCTGTTAAAATTTGAAAGAATGTTGCCAAAAATTGTTCTATAAAAGACATCCTTGCAGAATGAGGAAACAGACTCATATCCACATTCTCGGAGTCCTTAATTTTTTTAGATACAAACTTTCAGAAGACTATTACTGTACAGTTGTACAGTGCAGTGCAGTTAAAAGGTCAAGTAAAAAACCAATTGAGCAATTACTGCATACAGTATACTTCCCTGAAATCAGAAAAATCATAAAATGCATTCCTCTAATAAACCTGTAACATATGAAAAATACTATCTTGGAGGCTGCACACATTTGATTTTTTTTATGGGCCTGATGGTGTCTCTGGCCGACATATATCAGGAGTTTGGTGTCATTATGAGGAGAAAATTTTGAAGTCAGCAGGGTGTCATAAAGCGGATTTGTCATTATTTGGGCCTGTCATAAAGCAGATGCCCACTGTTTTAAATAAAATTTTAAAACATTATATCCAATTACATTTTCTAATCCGTTATTTGAGTGTAGGCTTCCTTTCACTCATGTATTTCCGTAAAGCTAACTTTAATCACTCCGGAGTCACCCTTTAAATCCCCATTATTCCTTTGCTTATAATGCAGAAGAAGAACAAAACCCCGACAAATGACCCAGTCAGAAGAGATAGCAGAAAAAAGGGCTAGAAAAGAGAAATCCGACGTGTGTATAGTGATTAGAACATGGGAGATTTTTGCACACGCGTGCAGCAGGGTTCCCTGAAGAGTGACTGGGTAAATCCCTAGGGTAAACCCCCGTAGGACACCGTCGAACCCGGGTCGGGATCAGGACAAGAGTCGCCAACCAACGGAGTAATAACCGCAATCCTCTTCCGAGGGTATAAATAAATTATCCTTGTCTCACGGATCCCTGGATCCACTTGAGCGACACGCTCAGCAAAGTTGTCATGAAAGTTTTTGCTATGTGCGTTCAGAAAAGTTGGAGCGGAAGAAGTTTTTTTTTTCCTTCTTGAAAGTTATCGAGAAGAGCGATGATGTAAAATTATTATACAGTACTGTACGTGACTAAGTTGGGAAGTTAAAATCTGGAAGAGCTACTTGAACTAAAAATCTGTATTTTCAGTCGATTGAATGTCAATGTTACATGTGCAAAACTGGGAAAAAGATCCGCCATTCGCTCAACGAATTGAAACAATTATGGACTCTTGTTTAGATAGAGATTTTTTTTCAAATTTTGACAGGGTTTGTGAAATCAAAAACTTGCTTCACAATTGATGAGGAAGGTTTCAAATTTTTAAATCGATCAAGCGTAGAAAAATAATGACCTGGATGAACAGTTGTTCAAAAATCCGAAAATCCAATGGTTTTTGTTCTTAAGAGAAACATTTATTGTCGCCGTTAAAAGAGTTCGCTTTAAAAGAAGCCTATGCATCAATGCCTCGAAACAAATTCCATGAATTAATTGGCCTTGGCACGACAATCAATGAAATTGTTTCAAGTTTAGTTTTTCACACATTATCGCTGATTTTCTGGAAAATACGAACTCAATTTTTCGGCCTCACAGCAGCAGGAGGAAAACGACTCGCTCTCATTACGAATGTAATTTTGAATCGTTGCTGCTTCAATCAATGTTACTCAATTTTTATATTACACGTAGGGTACTTAATAACCGAATGAAAGTGAAGTAGTCCGATATTTTGGATCGACCCCTGGCTTAACCCCCGACACAATCTTAGGAAAGCGGGAAATTGTGCGCTAGGGATGAAAAGATGATATCACATGAAACAAATCCTTTTGGTGTGTTTGTCTGGTTTCTTACAAATGTCTGGTGTGCACAGCTTGTCGTTATTAGTGTCTAGTCCTTCTTTGTCTATATAGACACTAGTGCATTCTCTACGATTTGTATGAATCCTTGCATATCGACGGTGACAAAGTCAATAAATTTCCATCTGACGCTGTACCATCGATTTTCTGAGCAGCTTGCGGATGAAACCCTTCATCCATGACAAGAATATGTAGGATAATTTTTATGAATACGGAGGAATTACCTTCATTATATGTAGACACAGATTATGAAAACCAACAATTCACTAAATCATCACCATTTTTCAAATTTTGAAACGGAAAAATGCAGTACAAATCTAGCAAATCTTCAGCTTAAAATCATACCGACGAACGATAGTCGCATGAAATTGAATCTAAAAAGAAAGTCTGCTTTTATGCGACGTTCTTCTCTACTATTTTTCTCGAGATCATTTACGCTTAATTTTCGTTTGTTTAATAGTTTTTCATGATGATGTTAATTTATAGAAATTTTCTGTGTGAAATGGAAGTAGATTGACTGCTTTTGATTTCTTCTTTTCTCGATCTGATCGAGTTGAGCTTTGGGCGCGGATGATTGCTAAATCAGATATAGTTGAGATTTCATTACTTTTTGTTGAACATACTGAACCTCTGAAACAAGAGGAGAATTCCGAAATCCGACTAATTTTTTTTTTTTAAGTCGGCTTCGAATGGCATGTTACTGTTCGATTACCGGCTTGTTTTTAAGCGATACGTATAATTGAAAAAATTTCGAAAATTTTGTCCCTTTTATACACTTACACTTTCTCTTGTAAACCTAAACTCCAGTTTGGAAGTCGAAGCCTTCCACTAAGTAGGGGTCAAGGACTGGGTTCGGCTCCGCTCCTACTCTTGTTGTTTTAGGTTCCCATGCACACGCAACCCCAGATGAGGTGCCACAAGGGAAGCATTGAGGCAAAATGTGCTGCTTTCAATAGACGCATTCCAAAACAAAACAAAAACGTAAAAAGAAAAAGGAAAATCGCACAAGAGGATGTGCGAGAATTGTTTTTTTTTCTTCTTCTTCTTCTTCATGTCAGTCGGATTTATGGCGTCAGGGAGAAATCTGGCGTTTGGGTTGTTCCAGACGCGCGTGCTTGGAATGCTTCGACTTCAAAGCTATATATGCATCCCCCGGGAACATTTCCCGGTGTTGCACAAAGATTTCATGCTCTGATGTACAATTACAGTATGTCTTTTTATTCTTTCGTTTATACAGTACATATACCGTTCGTTTTTGTCACGTGTTTGACAGTTGTTGTTTTTTTATTGAATTTTCGCGGACGGCTTGCCTAAAAACTTTCGACACTTCGCGCTAAAAACAAAAACTTACACATATACTGCTCTGCTTAGAGACGGACTTGCATACAGTTTTGTTAAGTGGCTGGAGTAGCCCTATGTTTAACCGAGAAACATCAGAGGCAAAAATCTTCTTCATTCCATGTAAAAAAAAAAAAAAAAATGAAGCAGCGAAGTATTCTGGCTTAGAGGTGCGGTTCTGTACTGTAATTCTTCAGAATAAAAAGTGATGTGCATCAAAGTGGCGTATGGTCAAAATACGATGCACGATACTGCATTTACAAAAGATAAATTCAATCTGAGTACAGTATTTGTTTTTGACACGCAACAGTAGAAGCTTTTTTCAGAATAGCTCGTACTGCCTGAAGACGAAAGCAACAAATTCAAGAATCATTATAATCAGAACTTTTTTTTCGAACAGTTGTGGAATGATTTCGGTTTACGAAATCTTTGTCGAGATTGAAAAAGCGTAAAAAATAGAGGCAAAGTAATTGAATACTGAGTGGGGCGATATAGAAGAAGGACACACGTGAAAATGTAAGGTACAGTATATGGTAAAACTATAGGGGATCAACTTCGATGGAATGCAAATTTTTTTAAAGGGACTTACGGTATTTTTGGGAAAGACACGGAGTTTTACTTGTAGAAGCAATACGGAAATCGTATCCTTAACCTCAGGACTAAATCATTATTCTGTTTTATTCGCATAGAAACACGCCAAAAGATTCGTCCGCCAAGAATCAAGTTTCCCCTTTTTTCTGAAGATCTATTTAAATACTTGGAAAAAGGATTTCATGGGTCAATCAGAAACTCTTTCCGGAGATTAGTGCCTTTCACTTTTGGTGGTGACCTGATTTTTCGATAACGCATAACTTTTACTAATCTTCGATACAAAAAGGAAAGATATAACGCAAAAAGGACGCGTGAAAAAATTCTGAAGAAAATGGATTCTTTTAAAAATTGGAATTCCAACAAAAAAAGCACACAATTTCAATGGCAAGCACTTTTTTTTAGCTGAATGGTTCTGAGGTATCGAGGGTTTTATTTATTCATTTTTACTTTTATTATTATGACAAATGTATGATGCTGCAAACAGACATTTTTAGGTGCATTGGTCTTTTCACTTACCCGTATGAATGTAGGTATGCTTCTTCATGTCAGACTTCTGATGGAACCGCTTCCCGCAATACTGGCATGGATATGGTCTGGTGTCCGAGTGAATAAGCAGGTGGGTAGATAGCGTTGATGAACGTTTGAAAGTCTTCCCGCACTGCTTGCAATCGAAGGACTTTTCCGAAGTGTGCACTGCTCTGTGAATTCAAGACAAAACCCGTGTTACAGTTGGGTAACGTTTCGGAGAATCCATGAAGAACGCTTTCTTTTTCGTTTGCTATAAAATTATGAATTGTTTGCCTCTATTTGTAACTTGTGAACAAGGAGTTGGTTTTACAAATAAAGTACAGCCAAACCTCACTAAGTCGAATTTCAAGGGACCAGAAAAAAATTTGAGTGATGGAGAGCTTTCCAGATCAGGACACTAGAAAATATTTTTTGGGAACAATAAAAATCTGCAGAAATTTTGAAATGGCAATACAGGTGACATCTTGCAATTTGACCTCCCTCAATTTGACCATTCCACAGTTCAACGGTTGAATTTTCAGGGAGATTGACTTACAATTCAACCTCTGCCCCAGAATGCGGCCTGCTTTGGCAATTTTTTTCTCATTTTTATGCTAATATTTCTCAAGTTTACAAAGTGCCTTGCAATTTAACCACATCACAATTCAACCCTAGTCCAGCAATTGATTATTGTCAAATTGTGAGGTACCACCTGAATATTCAGGGCTTGGATTTGTCTTGAATGAGTTGACAGGATACTGAGCTTTGAGGTAATAATTCACTTGCCAAATTGGTCTTTCACTTTCTTTCAAAACAAAACACAATTTTTTAAATAGCAATTCTCTTTCCTGTATAAAGAAATGATAGCCACTATTGCGTTTCAAGTCCCTTCTTTGAGGTAATAATTCACTTGCCAAATTGGTCTTTCACTTTCTTTCAAAACAAAACACAATTTTTTAAATAGCAATTCTCTTTCCTGTATAAAGAAATGATAGCCACTATTGCGTTTCAAGTCCCTTTCTGGATTCCCTTGGAAAAAATGCATTCCAATTTGTTTTACTCAAAGGCTTTTCCTTGCAAACTTCCATAAGTCAAATTTTCTTAGATCATCTGACTATTTTTTTTCTTCATGCATGAAATACAAAAGCAATACAAAATAATGATGTGTTTTGAAAAGAAGGGCAAATGAACCCTTGCCTGCAATGTCAGCATCCATCCTGTCAACTCATTCAAGAATCAATTTAAAGCCTAGAATATTACCGATCACATTTTACCCTGCATTCTTCTATCCTTTTCCCCCATCACAGAAATGCTTCTTTCCCCCAACTGAAAACCTCCCCAAGTCAAAAATTTTTTGCAGGTCCCTTGAAGTTTGATTTAACCCGTGGATGGTGGCAGCCTCTTTTCCATCCCAGGGCAAAGTTGGACTTTTTCCCCTTGGACCTACAAACAATTTTTCCATAAGAGTATGCAACCCCTGCCAGGTGGGGAAGGGCAAAGTTGGATTTAGTAAAGAAATGCTGGGAAGGTCCTAAGTTGTTTTCCATATTGACCTCTAACCTGGGCTCCTGGCTTTCAAGCTTAAATTTAATCTTTGAATGGGGGAACAGCACAAGGCCACGGGGAAAAAAGGGAGCCTTGAAGAATTTTTTTTTTTTCATTTCCAAGTGAATTTTTTTCTGTGGGAAATTTAAAAAATGGCAGGATTTTTCCTGACTTTGCTCTACACACACTGTCATGGTTTTTTTTAAATGCCATTCTTGAGTGCACCCAAAATCTGCAAAAAAGTCAAACTTTGCCACAGAAGGGTTAAAGAGGGTTGACTGATGTACTATATATAACATATTATTCAGTACAGCATTTTTAACATTTTCTCGTAGTTCCCTTTAAGTTTCTTTTAACAATATATTACTGCATCTCAGGTGTAAAATATTATCAATAGTTGTAAAACATTAAACCAAAGTCTGAGTAAGTACTCTACCGTATTTACTCAAATACCACACACCTTTTTTCTCAAATTCCAGAAGAAAAAAAGGGATGCATGTCATAAGCAGGTACACATTTTTCAAGAAGTTTTAGGAAGTTCTGTGTGCATTATACTCAATTATAATGGAGAAATTTTGAACAAATGTAACAAGAAAACTTTTTTTACTGAAAAAGTTGAAAATTGATCCAATTTTTGTTCAATTCATGTCTAAATTCAAATTTTTTGAATTTATTTTTGAAATTTTATGGATTTAGATTCACTAAAAATGGGGTGAGCATCTTACTTGGGTACACAATTTTAGCCAAATTTCCAACTGAAAAACCCTGTGCACCCCTTACTTGAGGGCGCATGGTACTTGAGTAAATATGGTACTTTTCTCTTCCCCTTTTTTCCTTTTTATTTCTGAAAAAGAAAGTTTCAGGGTTAACAATTTGTACAGTAGGGATAGATAAGACTAACTTGTGTTGTGTGAGGCTGACTTCATGCCCGAAGCTCTTGTTGCAGAGCTCGCAGCTGAATGGCCTTTTCCCATTATGCGACCGCCGGGCGTGCACTTCCAGCCCGTGCGGCGTGGAAAACATCTTGTCGCACTTGACACACGTGAAAACGTCCCCGTAACTCCCTGTCCCGGGTCGCAACAACTGCTGACCCCCACCTACTCCCCCCACATCCAACCCCGCAGTGGAGCTCATATTATTCCCTGCGATGCCACCACCACCTAAGCCAATGCCGCCATTCGCCATCCCAGTGCCTCCACCGCCACCGCCGCCGCCGCCGCCGCCGTGCTTGCTCAGCCACGTCGCAAAGTCCGGAAATGCGTGCGGTCCCGTGCTAGTACTGCAGTTATTCTGAACAGAGTTGCAAGTACTGCTGGTCGGGAAAAGGTGAGAGGCGTGGTGCTGGAACATGCCGAGTCGGTCTCGCAATACGGACGCGGCGGCGAATGGACTCAAGTCGAGGCCTGCGCGATGAGCTGCGAACTTGAGGAGACCGAAGGGACTCGGGCTGTTATGGGTGCTGGTGCAAATGCTGGCTGAACTGCTGACGACAGACGGGGTTGTCCGGGTTGTCAGGGACGTGACGGATAGCGGGTTCGAGTCCTTGCATGCTGCACTGCTGGGTTTCACGCAGACCGGACGAACCAGCGTGGGCTTGTTGGGTGAACATGATGACGAAGAAGAAGACGAGGATGATGACGATGAGGACGAGGAGGATAATGAAGAAGAAGAAGAAAGGGAAGGAGAGGCTGAACATAGGGCGATTGCCGGTGGAGAGGTCAGGTTCGTCGAGATGGGGGTTCTGCCGGTGTCTCGGGGTGGTGAAGATACGTCGGACCCCGGGGACACGTGTCCAGCAGGTGAGATCAGGTCTCTCTCTGACAAATGAAGAAGAAAACAAAGCAAGAGTAGAAAACCATGTTTTTCATTTAAATCACATCTTCACTACGCCAAAAAAAATATATCTGCATTAAAATCTGTTCGCTTCTCGACATAAATTTTTAGGAACAAAGTAATTCACTGTATTGTTCAATAAAACGCCGGTCTAAGCTCGAAGGATAAAGCTCAAAGAAGGGTCTAATCTTAATACATATATATACTGTATATGTACGACGGCCGCCACATTGTCCGCCATTTTAGCGCCTGTGAAGGCGGCATTTGATGAAAATGGCGGAATTGCCTTGGATGACCTGGAGGCAACCCTTAGAAAGAATGCCAAGTTGATTTCAAAAATTCTGAGGGGAAAGCTGGGCTACAGCAAAAGAAGGGCGCCTCATTTTTTGAGTGGAGAGCAAAACTCTATGTGGATGAATTTTGAAAAAAAATCTTTAAAAATTGTCAAACCAGGCTGATTTTTTGTGTGTGCCAAAGAATATTTTTTGGCTAGAGAATAAATTTTTTTCAGCTTAATTGTATGCCATTTTCATTGCTTGAATTTTGCAAAAAAATCTTTAAAAATTGTCAAACCGGGCTGATTTTTTGTGTGTGCCAAAGAATATTTTTTGGCTAGAGAATAAATTTTTTTCAGCTTAATTGTATGCCATTTTCATTGCTACTCCAAGAACTTTTGTTAGAACCCTCGTATATTATATATGTACTGCAAAGTCAAAACTCTCTAAGTCAATTTTCATTAAGGAATTAGGAAAACAAAATCAAGATAGGGAAGTTTTGAGTTTGGGAAGCAAACATTTTTTTGTGTGTGGGAAACATCAAAGATTTGCAGTGAATTTGTAACTGGTGAAATTCTGGGCCTCAAATGACTTCTTAAATCAGCTGATAAGATGCTGAGAATGGAGTTAGGGATTCATTTTCCCAATTAGTCTCTCATTTCCTTTCAAAACACGTTGAGTTACTTTTTTATTGATTTTCTCTTTCCTGTGTCAAGAAAATAATAGCCAAAAGGCCTCAGAAAATTTTGAGTTATGGAGGTTTGAGAGGAAAAGCCTCAGATATATTTTTAATGCATTGTTCCTAAGGGAATTCTGACAGGGTCTTGAGATAAAAAAAATCTTCATGCAGGTGGACTCTCTTCACAATGATCTTGTTTACAAGGATTTTCTCTGTAAAACAATTTTGTTGGCCTCATAGGGTTCTCTCCCCATCTTATAAAGGTTCTTTTGCTTAAAAAAAATGGTTCCAGTCTCTTATTGAATATTGTTCTCAATTAGACAAGCCCATCTGTGTTTACCTATTGAACGGGAATGTATTTAAAATATAAATACATATGCGTAAGGTATAAATGCCTTATAGAAATATGCATAAAAAAGCTCTGTTATAATATATAAAGTATATATATTTATGTATCTAAGAAAAGGCTAAATTTACGGGGCAACACAAGTTTACCAACTATGGTGGATATATATTGTCTCAGAAAACTTTCGAATTTTCTCATTAAAAAAATAAATGAAGCAGATGTCAGAGAAAATGACCACGGATTGTTAATTACGAGGAAATTGCTTTTCGGCTGAACGCTTATTTCTATAGGTAATTTTCGAAAGTTATCCTTGATGCAGGGGGAAAAAAATGACAAAAATGCCTACTCCTGAATGCCCCGTATTCAAGAGCTCACAAATCCCGGAAAGTGCAAGAATTCTTTCCCTTTCCGAAGTCAATGAATTCCTTCATTCCAACACCTGATCGATGTTTTTTTTTACCTTATATAAACAGGAAATGACTCATTTTAGTTGAGAATTACGGTATATGAATCTAAAATTCGACATAATTATTTCCGATTGACTTGAGATCAAAGAAGACTTTGAGTAAAACAAAATACAGCAGAGTGAACCGGATTTTGTAAAAATAAAAAGTATTGCTTATTGATCCAGTACAGTGAGACCCTCACATGTGGACACCTCGACATGGGGACAATTCGACATAGGGACACTTATTATTATTATTTTTTTAGTCATAAAAATGGCCCAACATAGAGACACTGACTCGACATGTGGACATTGCTTGATAAAATTGGCAATAAATCTTGGGAAAATTGAAGTTTATTAGGCTTAATTGCAAGAAGCAGATATTCCCAACCATAAGATCTATGCAAGAAAAATTCTTTGGTACTTTTCCCATCACTTTCCCATCCATTCAGCTGATTAAAAAAAAATACCTATAGCACAGTGGGACTTCCTTCTCCTTTTGTGACATGGATGTTCTTTTTACAGATGCCAACGTTTCAATTAAATGTACAGCAGTATACTATTCAATGCTCGAAATGTTCTTATTGGGTTGAAAAGGTATTCACTGAATCAAATTCAAGTGGCAAAAAAATTTTTTTCATGGAATTCTGGAGAATATTTCTTCCATAAAACACCAATTAAAATTTATATAATGTAAGTCTATGGGAAAACAAGACTCAACTTAGGGACAATTCAGCTTTGGGACACTCTTGATGCATCAATTATGTCCGCGTCTGGGGGTCTAACTGGATTTATTTAGAAAATTTGAAATGCATCCTCCGGAGTCAGAATAAAGTTCAGACCAAGAATTTCTAATCTGATCTTTAAAAAAAAGCTCCTTTATTTTCTCATTTTTCAGATGAATTTAATGAACACTAAATTTCATCAGTAATCAAGATCACATGATGAGTCACCTGTCACGTAAATTCAATAAATATTTAAATTCCACCAATAATAGAGAGCATTTCATGAGTCATCTGTTAACGACTCATCTTTATGCTGTTTGAAAATTATTTTTTTTTTAAATTGCCAACTTTGCCCTGTATGTATGTGTGCCCGTATAAAATATATATTTTGTGGAAACACTTCGCGCAAAGGAATTTATTTGGCTATGCCTACGAATCCGTGATTGATGCCCTCGGGCGGGTTCGACGCGAGAAGAATGCGGTCCAATTATCCCCTGCATTCCAGGGCATTCATCTATCGTGAAAATTTACGAGCTTCAGTGATGACAGTTGTTTCCCTGGGTGGCTCAAGTGTTCTTATTTATTTTTCACTCGTATATTTCATGTAAAACCGTGTGTGACGAAAGCTTTTACTGAATGTGTGGCAGGGTTTTCGAGCTTTGCTGGAATCTGAAGGATTCCCAAAGTTGGTCATTTCTCTCGGGTTCCGGAGTGATTCGCAATCAGCCACTTTTACGTAAACGCGATTTTGAATGAAATGCAGTGAGAACCCCGATATGCGGACAACCCAGCATACGGACAATTTGACTTGGGAACACTTGAAAACCAAAAACAAAAAAATCAGGCTTAAGATCTGGACATTGGTTCGAGTTGGAAGCACTTTCCTGAAAATTTTCCCGAAAAATCGAAACATTTTCTTTTTTTTAATTTTTATATCTTTCAAAGAAATTGAGCTATTTATATTCACAAAAATAAAATAAAATTATCAAGTAAATTCACTTTAATTCATAATCAAGCTGATTTTGTGCTTCTTTTTTTCAGAGATTTTTTTTCTATCATCTGTGCAAATTCTAGCAAGACTTATTCTTTTTCTTTGCTTTTCAATCTCCTTTTGATACCAAAAGATGAAATTCTGTTCTGCACTGCTGTTTTCTACAACTTGAAGTTGAGAGAAAATTTTTTTATTACATTTTTGAGGACTTATTTCTAATTTTTGACAAAAGGAGAACTAATTAAATACATTAGCATTAAAGTCTAACGGAAAATGCGACTCAACTTAGGGACATTCCGACATCAGGACACTCCTGATTCACCAATTATTCACACATATCGGGGTCTTGGGGTCTCACTGTGTTTTCATGGGACATTGAAAGAATATTGATGATATCAGAAGGGAAAGAGAAAAGTTGAGTTACAGTATTCATGGAGATTATTTTTATGTACGTGCTAAATTATGTCCAAAATGCGGAATTAGCCGAAATGAAAGCGACTGTAAGTCTGTATATAGGCGAGGAAAATACTTTCGCTAATCTATGAAGGTTTTGACATTTCTATCAATTATTGCGAATAAAAATTGTTTTATTTATTTGGTGGCGCTTTTTTTTCTGCTACTGCTATTTATGCATATTTGTCCAATTGCGGAACTGACATTGTTTGGTACCAACTGCTGATTAGCAGATACCTGCTGAACAACTTTTCCTGTTATGATTATTATGATGTCTTTTCTGAATGCCTCAGGCTACTATTTTGATTCGGATTGTCAAACTATTGTCTTAATTCCGTTTGATAATATGTTAAGTCCACCAGTTGGTCAAAGCATGAGCATTGATTCAAACGTTTTGTTGTAGCAGGGCCGTGGAAATAAATTTTCTGATAATTCGAGTTTCTTATCCAGAATAACAAAATTTAAAACAAGCTTCTTTGAATTTTTCTAATATTATTGGGCAATTAAAAATTTTTTGAAAATTCAAAAAAGCTTGTTTCAAACGTTGCAGTCCAAGATTGACTCTATATTGGACTGCAAAGTTTATAAAGATTCCTGCCTTTC